TATTTGAGGGAAAACGAATGGCAAGCAACGGTTTATTCGTAGGGAATTTTGAGCCAGCAACATTAAATTACAGTGCCCGAAAACCTGCTGTTTTAGAAGAAGCCTTTTGCAGTTGCTTTTTTCCCTGTTACACTTGTTTTAGCYTTTGTATCAATTCGGATTTATTTTGGTTTTCGGTCTGTTTTTCAAAAACGTTTGCTAGGCTTTCCACTAGAACCGCCCACTTGATCATCACCCGTTTTACTCGCAACCAATTTTCTGAGAAACCAAGGAATGGATAAATTCTACCATCGTGACTTTATACTTACAAATAAAGTGATCCCGAATACGGGACAGTCGTACACGGTCTTTGAGATCGTCATGTCTCAGTACTTCTCTACTACATGTATCCCGTCTGGCATCAGCAACGTACGCACTTTTTACTCCTGTAAGACAGCAGTAGATAGTCGTTACCATTAGAGTGAAGGCATTTAACCCGTGAAATAAAAGATAGTAGTCAACGTGTAATAGTCAAATAGACACAAAAGAAAACAATGGAATTAGGGTCTACTAAAGTGTATTAGTCTAATATCTACTTCACGGGTTTAGTGAATTCACTCTATCAGTGTTGGTGCTGAGGTAACCACTTAAAATTCAAGGACTATTCAAGGAGTATACAAGGACCCAAAAATGAATTTTCAAGGAGTATGTTCAGCTAACTATGCCAAGGTTTTACACGGTGGTTGCACATGACCGACTTTCAGAATTTCCAATCTTTCTGACTAGATCTATTACAGAACCATGCAAGTAATGATCAAAGCAAAAATTCAAGGAGTTTTCAAGGAGTTTCGCTAAAATAATAAAATTCAAGAGCTTTCCAAGTGCCCTTGAAAACGTGAATTAAATTCAAGGAGTTTTCAAGGAGTTTAAGGAGTAGCACCAACCCTGATTAAATTATTTGACAAGACTTCATTTAAAGAATTATTTTTCTTCCAGGTATATTTACAAATGTTATTAGCCAAGTATTCGCACGCAACTAGTGCATAATCAGGGCAACGGCTAGTGAGACAGTTTCATACGTTAACTAGAAACTACTCACATGCACGAGCAATCAGCCAACAAACGAATAACAACGACAGCAAACTACGTAATGTGTGCGTGGGGGGATTTTAAAATTCTTAAGCTTGGAGGATCTTCAAGGTTGTATGTTATCTTCATTCGTGATAGTATTTTCATAAGTTTTGACAACAGTCGCTAGTTGCATAATAGCGACTTTAAGATTTGCAAAATCTTCGACGGCGACGTCAACCGGAAGTGTAAATAATATCTCTTTAGGGTTCTGCTCATTGGAGATTTCATTCAAAATATTGTCAGTAAAGTCAACTCATCCACAGGGAAGATAGACTTTGAAGGCGCGAAACCTAAAAGTGAAATTATTTACACTTCCGATAGACGTTGCCGTTGCATAGTAACACTTTTTTACCATTCTCAATTGCTATCTTGATAACGCCTTCCGAGAAGCAAGAAGCGAGTTTGTCTGCGAGCTCATCTTCACAAGGTTTTGTGATCACTATTTCTGGAAGAAGTCTGTACGACGCTGTAGCTGTGAAAACAAGACGAAGGATCAGTACCAGGTATCACAAGCAAGAAGGGAGTGGGGCAAAAGAAGAGGAAACTGGAAGAGGGGGTTAGGTTGCAATAGTCCGCTTCACAGCTCCTTGCGCCATCTTGAAAGGTAGCCGTGGCTTTGCATCGAAGCGAGACAAACGGTGAGCTTGCAATAATAATAATAAATAATCTTTATTGAGGTTATCGCTGTCACCATAAGGTGATTTACAAGAGAGACCTCTAAAATAAATATATAACAAAAAAGAAAAA